GATCCAACGGTTCTCATGTATTGTACTAACTGTGCTGGGTGCGCGCACCCAATAACCTATCCTCGGGAAAATTGTAGAAGAGGGCATTATATCATCATAATCCTTTAGAAGTGCTTAAAAGGTAGAGATAAATGGGTTGAAAGGAAAATTAATTTCACCATTTATCTCTACATAATGCCCTCTACAACTTTCCCGAGAATATGTTATATATATATATATATAGTACTAATGTGATTATATAAAATGGAGAAAAATCAAGTTGTGCATCTTTCCCATATAACACAACATTCAAAAAAGTAAATTACTTTATTTCCACAGCTTTTATTTTGGAAAAATCGAGCTTGATGCCCAAAAAGAAAAACATAAAATCTAATCTTGTCAGAAAAGTGATTAAACATAAACTCGGGCTTTCCTTTGTATATCTGAAAACTTGTGTCAGCTGCTGATTGGCACGCCCTCGAAGGTAACTCGTCAAGCATGTGGAGTACTCAACGCACGAAGAAGGCAAAACGTAAATTTCTTAGATCGCGTTAATCTTTTCGCGTACCCTCGTCTTTATTTTATCTCATTGAATTCTCGTCCGTAAATTCTCTATTTAACTTGTTTGATTTTATAAATTTTTTTTTGCTCTAGTGATTTCTCGGTATAATTTCTTGATTCGCCCTCGCTCTCTCTTCCAAATTTTCTGATTCCCCGGCACCATTCTACTCTACGATGACATGCATGGGGCTTAAGCTAATGCATATGAACAGATGAGGTGAAACTAATGCTTGATATATACATGAGGCATGCAAAAATGAAGAGAGACACCATGAAATTTCAAATGTTGGTTCAAACCCTATACGAACACAGTCTTTCTAGTTCTGAAAATGGATCGGCTTTCGCTAGATACATCAATGTCTGCTTTACCGATCTTAGTGTAGCACAAAAGCTTGTCTTCCAAAGCTGTACACGGCCTTTTCTTCCTTTCCCCCTTTTTTTCCTTCGTTTCTTTTGGCTTGCTTTAAGAGATGAAAGGGAAAGAACAAGAGCAATTGCATGGGAAAAAAAGGCAGCACCCCTTTACCAATCCCTTCGCAAAACGAAGATCTAAACCCTAGCTCCTCTTTGGACCTGCCATATTGCGGCCCTTTAGTCACTTCACTTCTCGTCGAAAGATTATTCCCCATCTCGAGAGAGAGAGAGAGAGAGTACGATTTGAGCATCTTCTAGATGTGGAAGCTCTTAAAAGGAGAACCCTTTTTTAGGGCTCTAAAAAGATAAACGCTCTGCCTGGGGAAAGTATAATGATAAGCAACTTTTCATTAAGGAATTGAGGTAAGCACTTTTGTCTTGGAGAAGCCTCCTCGGAGTGAGGGATTTTCCTCCTCCGTTTTTTTGGATTTCTTTTTCGCATGAAGAACAAAGATCTTGTTAAAAACATCTCCAGCTTTTGTCGTCTCCAAAGTTCGAAAATGATGGGTGTGTGGTGGGGTGTCACTAACTAAAGTTTTAATGAACAGTCATGCCCATCTTGCATTTGCGCCAATATTTTAGCATCTTCATCTTCGCTGCGAAAAGGGCGCTTTGCATTAGAACAACGTCATTTTCTAGGAAGTTGCAACCAAGATGACTTGTTTAAACCTAGTTTGATTGATGCGAAAGACGTGTTCTTCTGTTGAACGGAAATGATTCACGAGCAGATACCGAGCTAATCTCGTGTCTTTCAAAATTTCTTGTACACATCAGGGACCAAGTCCTGCCTTTTCTAAATTTTACAAATGATGCTGTTTTAGAATTCAGGGTTCTTAGCATGAGACGGAGAAAGACAAGTCTATCTAACTATCCGACGGTGGCGGTGGTTTTAATTGAAAGCCCAAATTTGACAAAAAGAAGTTTGTAAGAAAGGTTAATTTGTCACTTTCATTAGATTGTGATCCTTCGTGCTCCATCATTGATTAGTTTGTGCGATTAGTCAAAAAGATAAGACACAATTCAAATATTTTAACACGGACCGTTTGGGAATCGATTCCAAGGTCTAATTATTTAAAGGAACGTGCGGTAAATTCTATGGTGGACTCGTGCATGAGTCATGCATCAAATTATACCTTTCGTGGTTTTAATATTCATATGTTACGTTAAGTGAGAATCTTCGGCTCCTGAGGATTTCAAGATCGCACCAACCTAAACTTTCGAGCATGAAAACACATATTGCATTTATGTATTCCTTAGCAATGAAGAAATCTGTCGTTTTCATGGCTTCATTCGTAAATGCTTCCCAAACAAAAACGTCTCTCTCCGATGGCATTTTCAGTCGCATTCATGCTCGTCAATTTTCTCCCACGTAACTTTTGAGAATGGGGCTCATTACAAACGCTTGGCCACTGTGCGGACAAATAGGATTTGAAACATGAGTAATTGCAAACAAAATGGACATTACAATACCTCATCAACCCAGATGGTAAATATTATTAAAAAAAGATGGAAATATTGATTGGGGGTGATTTTGCTGAGACAGATTTTTTTTAAATCATAGACTTTCGACAAGGATTAGGTTAGATGGACCGAAACATTATGCTATTAGCTCCAAAATTAGGGAAATAATATTAGGGTTAACGCCAAAAACCATGTGACCACCCGAGGCAAATGGACAAGGAGGAGAAAAAGTAATAAAAAGGAAAGCAAAAGGTGGTGTGAGGTGGAGAGATGCATGGGTGTGCGTGTGCAAAGGAGAAAAGCTAGGGTTTTTTTGTCATCGACACAACAACAATACTTTGCTTCTCTCTCTCTCTCTATCTCTCTCTGTGAAAACACTACTTTTGTAGATGCTTGCCCACCATATCTCCTCAAACACTTTCTTTAAGTTTCCTTCATTGTTTTTATATGCATCGTCTCTCTTTCAATCCTTTTCTCGTCCCTCCTCCCATTTCTTAGTCAGCTTAAAAACAACGCGTCCTTTGCATCCCACACATTTCCCCTACCCTCTCCTCTTGTATCGTTCATTTCATGCCCCCCCTAAAAGATTTTCGCAAAAGAACACTCCGAAAAGTAAGCACTCATGGCTTGTCAAAAGCCCCACTCGTGGTAGGCCCTTCCCCCATAACAACTAAACAAACCTAATTGGCCTCGTCCTCACTTCATGCTCAAGACTCTCTCCCATTCTCTCTCTCTCTCTCTCTCTCTCTCTTTCTTGGCTTTCTTTTTTGGCCCTTTCTTTCTCTATCTAAATAGATAGTTGGTGGAGATTTGGCTCCACATAAGGGACTTTTGAATAATATATGAGTTTTCTTGCTCGCTAGCCTCCAAGGAAAAAAGGGAAAATTGAGAGCAGTCTTTGGGTTTCTTTTTACTCCCCATCATCTTCTTCTCCTTCTCCTTTCCTTTCTCTTATCTCCTCCCCTTTTGCAGCATCCATATCTCCTCACAGTCCAAGGTCAACCATCGTTTACTTCGCACGTCTCTTTCGCGGGGTCATCTCTCTTTTTCCTCCTCCCATTCCTGTGGCAGTTCGGACCGATCCCGAAACCCTAATAATTGATCAACGCAATTAACTTGTCCGAGAAGGAGCGTTATCCCTTCGTGATTGTTGCTTTTCCTAGCGAGAATTTTTAACAAATCACGAGACGTCTTAATCTACCATGACCTCCTCTGTTTTGGACGCAGATGCACTCTCTCTAGTCAAGTCTTGCTAAGGACAACAGTACCCGCAGCTTACCAAAAGAAACAAAGTTGTTTTAGCTCTTGTAGGTCCACATGTTCTTAGGGTTTCTTTTCTGGCTGAATGTCAAATTGCTCATTACTTCTTTTACCAAATTTGTCACGACATCACAGACCGAACCACCCTTTTGACGACGGCCGCAAGTTTCGACGCCCCAGAAAGGACTTTGCTTTTAAGCACACAGCATGACTCTAGTGAATCGGAAAGAGTGCTAAGTAGATGTACTTACAAATTAAAAGATAACCATGCTAGTACTAACGATGATGTGGCTCGTAGCAACAATGTTTATGTCCAAACAAGAAGATGACAAGGCGCGCAAGCAGAAGTTAAATTAAGCAGCAAAATTTTCAATTGGTGATATCATCAGGCATCATCTCACAGCTGACACACATGCATGCAGACGACGAAAAATAGGGTTTATTTTTTATTAAAAGGGACGCCAAAGGAGGCCGAGGAGACATGTCCACGTGAAAATAATAGGGGTTTGCGACCGCCAATTAGACGTACCCTTGCGAAGTCGTGTTCGCCTTAGAGAAATGATTTAATTCAGCGAGAGCCTTTCTTGACTTACCGCTAACTTTCATCTTTAGGTTACGAGTGATTGAGTAGGGTATTATCATTTGTCTTTTTTTTTCCCAATTAGAATAGTATGCGATATCATAGAGGCGTATGGAAATTTTTTTTGTCTGATTGATGGGATTTGGTGGGACGTTAGTGGGCCTGTGCTTGCTACTCACTGTGACTCTCTCTCTCTCTCTTTCTCTCTGTCTGTCTCCCTCTGTATATCATTTTCAACCCATGATTGATTGCTTTGCTCGGTCAACCTTCAAGGGTGCAAATTAATCCAAATGGGAATTATTAGAGGTGGAAAAATACGTTTCAAAAAGAGTTTTTGTGAGACCTCGATGCAATATTGCCTAACAGCCTAAGTTAGGCTACATCAATAATCACAATAGTGATAATTACATTAACAATAATGACATTCCTACTTCTGGTCATGGCTGCCATGAGGACTCCCTAGAAGGACCATATCATTGTCACCAAGACAATAAGCTTTGTTAGCGTCAACATTTAACAACTTCTTGCTTTAGTGCAATCAAAGCAACTTTTGAGTCTTGATAGAGTTCTGATAGGAATGTTAGGACATGATGGTCACATGGTGTGATAACGATCGGACTAATCGGTTTCGATCCATCGTTTCAGCATATTTGGCTGCATCGACATGGAACAATAACCATGGACCGGCATTAAAACGGTTGGACAAGAAAACACCAACACCAGAAAAATTGTCGAAGAGATCAACGAGCCAAAATACAGCATATGAAACTTCAGCTAGGACAAAAGTCAGGTTCCAAAAAATCATGCCAAGTGGGGGCTGAAACTCCGCTCTCTACAAGAAAAATCAAAGTCAAAGCATAATGAAGATATATCCATAGAAAAATCTTCCTAAAACTTGATTCTTTAAGCTAAAGAACCCCAGGCAGCATGAGAAGCAAACGGGCACGCAAAAAATTAAGATGATTAACCTTGCGGCCGAAATTATTGATCATCCAGTTATTAAAATGGAAGACCTACCAACACCAAAAAAACCAAGGAAAAGAAAGAAACGACAATTTTTCGGAAGCAGCTTCTCATCCATTGAATTGACCAATGACAGCTCTTCTTGAAGATTAACAGTGATATACGGTTATTTGAACTATACCTTTAACACTGAAAACAGAGTATGCTTCAAAATCTCAGCTGCCATTTCGAGTTAAAGAGTACGTACAGGGCTATCTTCTTCATTCTCTTGTCCAAAAACAATCTGTGCCTGCTTGGCTGGCCCGAAGTCCCATCTTACAACAACCCCAGAATTACACAGCGTATCCCCACTTTTTATTGCTCATTCTTCCGATGTCAAACTCCATACAGAGGTAGGATGGTTTTGACAAAAGAGTACATGAGTGCACCCGTGAATATGTAGCTATCTACTCTGTCCAATATTCCCCCTGCAGGTATTCCCTCCGATTACAGACATAGTCCATGAAGCCCAAATTCGCAAAATACCATAAATAACACGGTTCTTACAACTACACTACAATCTGATGCATATTCAATGAGCAGCACAGGAAGTGGAAAAAGAGGTCCAGGAAACCTTACATGACAGACATCTAAGAAAAAGATTCATTTCATTAAAAATGAGGAATGTATGAAAACTTCCGAGGCAAAACTAACATAAGTATCATCTTTGCATTTGACAAGGTAAAGGTCATCTGCAGGTGCCCATGTGTTTCTCAACATCTTAAAAGAAAGGTTCATTCTCCAGGAAGAGGAAGTAAAGACCATTGCTTTTGAGTACAGGAGTAAAATTACATTCGACTACTACCCTCCAACGACAGAAATTAGGTATATTTTTTGTTGCAGCCAATGACACAAAAGAGAAGCTTTTCTACCATTTAGGAGTGCATCAGCAAATTGTTATGTGAGGGCAATTATACCATTGCATTCTACTTGCAAGTTCAGCAGGAAAATAAGATAGCGTGAAGGATGTTTCAGCTTCACTTTCTCATGCTTGTCAACAAGCGGTAGGCATTAGGCATATGATTAGCTATAATGCATCCGCACGAATATGCAAACTTTTGGTCAATCCAAAATTCAGATGAGTACCATGCAGTTATAGTGATAAGAAATACTCGAACAGATGAGCTAACTAGATTTGAAGAATGAAAACACAAAATCTTGCAAATGAAAGCTACAATTATTGCAGCAACCAAAAAATTGCGCCATTGTAAATCGACAACACAGTTAACTGTAGCAATCAGATTAAACGAACTATGAAATTTGTCCTAAATAAAGTTAAATTGGTTCTTATAATAATCAGCAGCAGGCAAATTTAGCAACTCGAATAAGGGCCAAAGTGCAAAGAAAATTCAGCAGCTTTGCAAAGTAATTAGAGCAAAAGGAACTTACCATGTCCAGGTATAAGGGAACCCGAGTCTTTGACCCCTGCGTCACGTTTGATCATGGATTCGGTAAGATCTCCAAAAACAGACCCAAAAAAGTTCAAGAACCCCAATGCTATTGCACTGTCCACCAAACAAGAGGAAATTAGACACAAACCACGACAATGGAAAAGACAAAGCAAATGAACAGTCTAACAGAATGCAATAATGTAATCACCTAAAAAAAAATCAAACTGAGCAAAAAACAGGTTTAAAAATGATGATGGATCCAAAAAGCTTTAAGCCAGATGATCAAAATGTATTATTTCGAATGCTACCGCACAAACGTTGCGAGTTCCTTCCTTCAAATTTAAAGATAAAGATTATGATACTGGTATTCTTGAAGCTAAAAGACAACTTGGCAAGACAAAGAAAGTATGATTTTTATTGATGAATAAGTGCTAACACTGTAGTAAGATTAAGAAAAGAACGAACGAAAATATAGTCAGAGAAGATGAAACTATGATCAAAACTTGGAGATTAAACAGGCATAGCTAGACTTGCTAAAATTAAACACTAAAATGTAAGGTCAAGAACCTGCTATAAACTCAAAAAGATGCTAAGAACTGATAAAAGGCTCAACAAAGTGAAGGAACCAGCTTTAACACACACATGAGAACAGGGAACAAAGAAACCACAAGGCAACAAGTTGATCCTTTATATGAAACAATAAGAAAGAATAAATGCACAAATTTTGATGTTACATTTATGCGAGTTCATTATAGGATCTACTTACTTGAGGCATCCAATGATGATATTGAATACCGAAAAGAGATCACAACAAGATTCCGACCGAATTATCTGGGCTTTTGGCTTCAGAGAAAAGGATCAAAAGTACTCAAGTTCTCGGATTTGTACAACGAATTTTTTGCAATCAAGGATACAAATAGCGAAGACTGAGAAGTCTCCCATCTGTGCAGGCTTACGACAAGATAAATTTTTTTGTCTTCAGCCACTAGATAGGGATGAACTCCTCTTCCTTGATGTAAGCTATGCAACAGAGTTTTCATGGATAAGACATAACAACGGCAAACGTGCTGGACAGATTGATATCAGAATCGATTGATTGTACAAAGATGGAAGAATTTAATACCATCCATGAGATTTACAACTGGGAAATAAGCATCTGGTATACTATGATACCTAATATGCACCTTAAGGTCAAGAAGAATATAATAGCCTACATGACAAGGACGTAATTCAGGACCAATGGAGTTATGAGGATATGTGCATTTCCATGTGAAAGAAAAGCAAGCAAAAAGCCACAGGAAGATGCTTGTGTACGCACAGGGACAACAATCATGACTATATTCTAGAGAAAGTAGGTATTACCCTCTCAAAAGGGAAAAGAAGAAAACTCACTTAAAACAGTAGGGACATGAAGACCTTCATACATCTCAAGGTGAATAGATGATGTCCTTGGAGTGGTTCATAAGTCGTAAAGATTCGGTAGGTATGAGAAAAGACATGGATGAATTTACTTAGTAGAAAAAGGGAAAACTCTTTTCAAAAATAGAAAGAAGGGGTACATTTTGAAAACAACATTACCTTCAACAATCTAGGAGAAAGCAGTTATTAAGATGTCAAAGAGTGGATTTTGAAAACTCCAAGTGGTAGGACACGTGAATCCTCAAACGTTCCAATAAGAGTATGTAACATTACGGAAGTGGCTTATAAAGATGAACGTTTGTGGGGAAAAAGATGAACACTACGATTAAGGATCTTCTGGTGAATATTATATTAAATGAGCACAATGAGGTAGAAGAATCACCCAACAAAACCAACTAAAGCATAACGATTTTTCTAATACAGTAGAAGTAAAAGATTCACAATTTAAGTCATTCCCCAAGGATAAAAAGAAGAAGCTCCCCTCGGTAAAATTTTAAAAGGTTGGATCATGTCTACATTGGAACATTTCAATTGGCCAAATAAATATGCACTTCCTCATAATCACTCATCCTGTCCAAAGAATGTTTAAAGGAGAAATATGTAAGAAAAAAGAAAAAAAGACTGGAAGTCAAGAAAAGTTCTATGACACTGTCCTTAATAATTATAGCATAGAAATCTAGCATCCAAGATAAACAAGGACGAAAGACAATAATCAGTTTCTCCTAACAAAATCCAGCCCTGTTCCCTCCTCCTCCTCCTCCTCCTCCCTACTACTTCCCTCGTCTCCCTCTTGAGCACACAAGCACGTAAAGACAATTTACATTTACACACATCAAAGACAAAATTCTCTTTGCCATCCCACTAGAAATAGATGACTTCACCAAGTATCCCTACTCCTTCAATTTTCTATCTTCCAAACACAAAGAAACAACGTTAATCAACTACCCTAATCATTAAAAAAGTATTTCGTTCTCATCCATGAACAAATAGTTTTGCAAACTAGATTACAAGAGCAAGTAGAACTACCTCAGCAAAGATGACGGCCAACAAAATATCCTTGACAAGATGACGGAAGTAGCTATACAGCCACCCAAGCCTACAACAGTTCCCTCCCATGTCTTCTTGGGACTAATACTAGTAAGTGGTGTCCTTCCAAATGCCTGCATTTAAATACAACAGTTTTTAGGTTTCTGTCTGCATAAAACCACAATATCCTGCATGGTACGGAAGAAGCAAAAGGAATCATGAATTCTTACAATAGAAAAGAAATTAAGCACAAAGGTACCCAGCAATTCTTAACTACATTAAATGTGATTATACGAAATGAAGATTAAGAAGTCAACTTCATGCCCGACAAAGCTCAGAAATCACAAGAACAAGCTACTCTTTTGCATTTGCTCTTATAGCACACAAAGATTCAAAGTATAACTTCTGAAAAGAGTTTCACCATGATACAATATTCTGGATAAACCAGCGTTATAAGAAGAAAGAAAGAAAGAAAGAATAACAAAAAGTAAGTGATTTGTAGTAGAACCTCATTAAGGGATACTAATTCAAACAATCTCTAAGCATGATTTTGGATACCAGATCATGAGTATATTCTAAAGAAAATTGTTTGAGGTCCTTAATTCTATTCACAATCAGGACATGGGTATATTTTCAAACTTATATACAAGAAACAACATAACTAGACAAAGAGGCATGTAGATTTCGATTTGTATATAAAGGGTACATATTACAGCACAAATTACACTGAAAGTCTACAAGCCAAATTACTTTGCCACCAAGAAACGCATATGTGTCTGCTGCAATTATGCTACTTATTGACATCAACGCTGCCACAAGGCCCACAGTCCAATGAGCCTGGCCTCCTAGAAGGATGGGCCATGCTGCTCCTATTCCTGTTAAAGACAAGCAAGTTAAGAACATAAGCATGAGCACATTAACGACAATCACTGATGATAGAAGCCGTTACATTACACATGTTAAAAAAATTGAAAACTTCATTATTTATAGGGAAGGCTTCATCTTGAAACTTCTCACATTTTCTGGTATTAATTTCAAGTATACTGAAAATAAGTAGTGTTTATGGGTAAGAGCCATGGTGTGAGGCCAAGTTCACAAAATTCTACACAGAGACAGACAGAATAGAATATCAAAAAATTATGCTTGTTCTACATTTTAATATCATAGAATCTGTTTTTACAAAGAACGTCAATTACGCAGCTGGTTGTGGCAATGTCTAACGGAGAAGTCTGTTAAAAGCAAGGTAGAAATTAGCAAAAAACAAACTTTCGAAGCGAGCTTTTTGCTTAACTGAAATTAATAAACAAACAGCACAATTATCCATTGAAGTGTAATATGTAAAACTATGACATATTTTCACACTTGGAGAAGTCAACAGTCTCAAGTGCCGGTAGAATGAAAACCACGACGAATGAGTCAAACACCAAAAATAATGGCCAAAAGCACCAAAAAGATTCTTACTGAGCTATTTGTATCGTATATTTTTCAATACCAAGTGCTTCTAACATTGGCAGTATCGTGATCTAATCTTCATTACACCATTTAAACCTGAATTTTTTCTGCGTTTAGATTACTGTATGCTACATTGGCTGTATTGAATATCATGACTTGATCTTCCTTTTACCATTTAGTCTTGAAATTTTTCTGCGTTTAAATTACTATTACCAATGTTTTTTGCAATTGTCTTGTACACTACACTGACACTTATATAATTGACAAGTAACATTGTGATCTCAATGACATTTCCAATCTTAGTTTGAAAAGAATGAAGACTGATGGACTGACAAAAAACCAAGGCTGAACAAATCTTAAGGATAAAATATCGGATGCATGTATCTTGAAAGGGGCATTCTCCATCAGGAATAAACCATATCTTACTAGTATGAAGTGCTGGTGCTGCTAGACCACATCGAAGCTTCACCCAAAAACAAGGAAGATATCCACAATAAAATAGACCAAATATTGTACTGCTGAGCTGGGAGAATCGCGGATTTCCTCTCTGTAGAAGCAATGCTATGGCAACAAGGAAGGCGGCAGATGTCACAGAAACGTCTAGACCAAAGTATCTGGCATGCACAGCGGCAACTATCAGTAATCAATGCCTATCAAACCCTCAAAACAAATTAATAAAAAATTATGTCTCTTGCCAAATAGAGCAAAGGATTTAATAGAGCAATAACGAATTAAGAAGAAAGCACTGCTTCCCGGAAAAATTCTGATTAATTCAAAGGTACACATGGGGGAAAACAATGCCATTCTACGAGAAATCAGTGAGATCCACATGATTTTTATGTTTCAGATTGCTAACAATTTAGAGGAGAGAAAATATGTATCTAAACAGAGAATGTGAAAAGTTTTCCAGAAACTGCATGCTGAAAAGCAGTCAAAGTTTTTTGACATGTCTTTGCCACCGTAAAGGGTTTTCTCTCAAATTATGCCGGTAATTCTTTTTCCTGCGATTATTACAAGTAGTTACTACAACTAGATTGCGGAACGTTTTAATTTCCATGTCAAATGTACTGTCTTTTGATCATTTCTTCTTCTGAACAGGATGATTTTAGAAATTCAGAAGCAAGCAAGCTCCCATATCTCCCTTAACAAGCAGTGTAGACAGATAAGGAGCCTATTACATTTTAATAAGGCAAAATAGAAGCATGCTAAGTAATTGCTACATCATGATAAGATTGGGTAACTCATAAAACTTTATCAGGAAACAGAGTTCATGCTCAAAGCTTTGCTAGCAACAGAATTTCTCCACCAAATGACATAAAATAATATAGCATAGGGATGTGTTTCAATCTTACAAGGTAAGTATTGGCATCAGGGCACAAATGACCGAGCAAACTCGGGACACATATCGAGGAGGGGGTGTCATTCCAGCTGCAATTCCACGACTCCTAACCAACTCAAAATACTCGCGTGAACCGGCAAAAACAGTAGACGCCAAAGCCACGGTAAACACCCATCCTCCCGCCAATACAACACCGCCAACAGAAATACCAATTCCAAGTCCAAAAACAATCCTCTTTCTTAACTGACTTGCTTTCTGTTGAGTCTCCATATCAGTCTCTCCCCGCGGTGAAGATTGATGGCCTTCGTCTACTTCCTAAAACATTCCGTTTCAGCATTGTTTTACAATCAATTTAACATGAAAATATCATTTACAGATAGATAGGGGTGACAGAGAGCTAATGCCACAACTTACTCATCTTCGTTCATCAACAATTCAAGCAACAAACATTGTCATGTCCTGTACCCGCAGATATTCATTCCGTGCATGAAATGATAGACACAAAGTAAATCCTCACAGACATGGTGCATTAGTAACAAATTTCAACAGAGGAAGCATGAATACGCAAAGAAAGATAAAATCGACACATCATCTATACTGCTGTTTCTGGTCCATCCAATTGTAAGGAACTACCCCTTTCTTAACTACTAACAACTAAAAGTACGCTATTCACAACCCTATCATTTGCACTCAGCATAAAGCCAGCACAAAAAAAAAAAAAAAAAAAACCATTTTCCCTCATACATCCAACAATTCCAGACACCAATCAAGAAAACGATCACATACACTGATTCCGGATTTCTTAATGAGATAGAGTCGACCGAAAGCACCTGATGGGCATCGCTCTCGCCGACCCGGTCCTGCTCGGTGCGCGCCATGGCCGCAACGATGCGCCGGCGGCCCGAGACCCCGCGCAATCGCATCCGAACCACGCTCTTGGGCCCATGTAACAGCAACCCAAGATTGAATTTTGACGAAGGACGCGCCAGAACCAGGGCGTTCCCGGCAAAGGGTCGACACGGGCAGGCGCAGAGAGCGGCGAGCGACGGAGGGACGGGCTTGATCGCCTCGATTCTGACGAGGGGCGCCATTAAAAAGGCGAGAGGGGCGAATGTTGAAAGGATCGGGACAGTGATTCAGGAGCTCTTTCTCAAGACATCTCGAGCATCCAGAGATGCCGCGAGACGGAGGGAGAGAGAGAGGAGCGGCGTGGAGGGCGAATTTGAGCTTGAGATTCGGGGATGGAGTAATGGGTATCGCGGGGTTATCTACGTATCGCACCGTCCACCACCTATTGGCCATTCCGCTCCGTTTTCCGTCGTCACGCTCTCGATAATAAAGCCGCGGTACACAGGAAGAGGGGGCGAGGCAAGAGACAAGAGAAGGAAACATATTTACTCTCGTGAATCCGCTTTCATCGTCGGCGGATCATGTCCGAAGAGAAAGAAGTCGTCGTTTTTTTTTAGAGGAATTGAACGATTATATGTGTAAAACTTGCCAATGTATCCCGTTCGGCGGCTTTGGCACCGCAATCGTGTTGCGTGAATTCAAAACTAGATACTTGTTAGCATTCCGGCTTTCTTCCCGTTTTAGGTGAATATCTCGATAGTTTATATATTATTATGATATGATGCGTTTTGTATCCTAAATCTATGATGGGGGGTGATGAACCGAGCTGCAGAAGCACCGAAGTAATGATAATTTCTGCAATTATTTATAATGAGCTGACTTATGGGGAGAATCGATATATTCAACATGTACATTTACAGTAAGATCCATCATAATATGTCACCTCCTCGATTTATTTCTTGACTGAGCAATTTTTTTGAGCTAATGTTTGCATGTACGACAGATTAAGGTCGGCTCGGGATGAGAATCGCCGTTCTTAAGTTAAATTCGAATGGCTCGGATATCATCTTTTTAGTTTCGACCTACAGCACCGGAAATTTTCATGTGCTCTCGAAGCACGGTATTTTCAACTTACTTAAAAATCAAAATTCACGTGTAAAGCGAGTGTTAAAAGTGTCGAGTGCACTTAAAACGCCTTGTCTACGACTCGGTCCGGTCCGGTCCGGTCCAAATGCTTGAGCCGCAAGGTTCAATCGGACCGGTGCGACTAGACCGCGCTGGTTTTATATCGCTTCCCTCCCAATTTCTTCACTCCCGTCCACCTCGTCATTTTTGCGCCGGCCAATCGCCACTTCGTCCCGAGCATCGCCGCGACGCTCGAATGGCGGCGGCGAAGCGCCGCTCTTCCGCTTCCGACTCGGAGCCCGACGGAGCGCAGGCGAGCTCGGGCTCCGAGCCGGAGCCCCCGACCCTCCCCGGGTCGGCGAAGGCGACCGTACCGACTTCTTACGAGAAGCAGAGGCTGTCGAGGATCGCGGAGAACAACAAGAGAATGGAGGCCCTGGGCCTCCGTAATTTGGCGAGTTCCGTGATGGGTTCGGGCCGGAAGGCGAAGAAGAAGGGCGACGCGAAGGGCAAGAGGAAGGTGGGTCAGGAGGACGACGACAGGGATGATGATTACGCGCCTGCTTTGGACGACGATGGCGGCGATGATGATCTTAGCGTCGACGATGAGGAGGAGGATGATCGGGATTTTGAAGTATCTGGGTCTGGTAAAAGAAAGGTCGGTTTTTTTTTGGTCTTGGTGAATCTTTATTTGTTTATGTTATTTTCGCGTGAATTAAGTTCCTAGTCTAGTTGACGTTTAAGGTTCATGTGGGAATGGAAAGGTGGGTTCAAGACAACGGAGTCAAGAGAAAGAAATGATCATTGGGTTTCTCATTTCTTGGTTTTTTATCAATGAGAATGACACTGCTTGTGCATCTTCAAAGAATTAGAACAATGGGGCCATTGAAGTGAGTGAAGCGAATTGTGCTCGGGTGTCATTAATTTTTCGGCTTGGCAGCTCTAGCATTAATTCATTCCAGTCCGAACTGTTGTGTATCCGCCGCAAATTGCGGTGACTTGGAAGTGTTGCCTATCTATTTTTTTTCACGACAGTCTTTATTTCTATTATAATTTTTGGTTAATGTTGTCGCGAAGTGCATTTGGGAGCACTTCCTTCCTGAGTTTTCTCAGTTCTTTAGACTTCTTCACGAAGTGTTTTATTCACAAATATTGCTGTAGTGGCTGCATCGAGTGCCTTCTTAATTAGAACGAATTTCTTTATGCTACACCCATATTTTATCACTTCGATTGTGACATTCTTGAAACTTCACCGGTGTTTCTAAGAAATAGTTGGCTTAATTAGACAGAGGACTGTTACGAGAAGATCAAAGTTGGATCCTAAGTAACCATGAGATTTTTCGGCTTGATGTGGCATTGAAAAACCTAGTTATGCTATTTCCCTTACCAAAAAAAAAACCTAGTTATGCTATTTCACTTGCCAACATCTATAGATTACCCAACCTAAGCAAAATTTTGTGCAGTCTGTTAGAAACCGTGTGAAAATTAGTACACTTGCTAGTAGATTATCATGGTATCCTTCCCTTCGTTTTTCCTTTCTTTCAAGTTCTCGAGAATTTCAATTAAACTGTGTAATTTTGATGTTTCTCGCAATTTCAAATCTATCACAATAAATTCCAAAATCACAGTCTAATTGTTTATTGGTTACTTATTTTGAATTTCATCTATTGCTAATTACTTCAGACTGCTTCAGTGAAGGACATTAATTTGGTGATACTCTAGTTGCATGTACTTGAAGTGTTGCATCTAGCTTTTATTGTCCTTTAATTTTTCTCTTCATTGCATTCCTTATGTCAAGTGCGACCTCTATTATCAGTTCGTCAACTTCCTTGCATGTTTTAAGCCTTTCCGAGTCTGGCAAGTGGAAACATTACTTTCCTTGATTACTTTCTTTATGCTTTCCCCTTGCCTTTGTCTTTGGGTTGTGAATGGTTTTTATTTAAAAAAAGGGAATAGCAGCCTCATGCCAATTGCTAGGGCTTCCTTCAACTCCATCCAATGTCAAATACCAAGAAGCAAGTGGTATATCACCTCATTCTCTCACCTTGGTTTTTGAGGTGTGTTCAATGAAAAAGGTTCTTGGTACTTTCAACCTACTCATCAATACTTTCGAAATGGTTCCACTTCTCCAAACATACATTTAAAGTATTGGAAGATAGTTTGCCACGTGGCACATGGATATAACGTCATGTCAGCCTTTGTAAGGTGCCGCATCAACATTCCTTTCTTTTAAATGGATAGCAGTTGAAGTGATTTGCTTGAACCCATTTTATAAGTATAATACCTAATATAAAGCTTGGAAATTCACCAAATTGGTTAAATATCAATACCACAGTTGAATAAATTACTTAATTACTGAATAATATAGTGTAGGTATTTTTAGTCAAATTGATTTATGGCTTTCATTTAAGTTTAGCTTTTGCGGTGCTTTGTCCGTCCTCTTCGAGTGTGTTTTGGTTGAAGACAGTTTTTTCTTTCTGTACCTCCTCTTAATGCTTTTCAAGTAATTAGATTTACATTTAAATCGGGATTTAGACAACAATATAAAAGTACAGATTTGAGGTACACTTGGACTTTTTAGTAAGTTGTATATATATCAGTCTTGGACATGTCATTATAATAATCGGAATGGACATATTGAACATCAGCAATTTCTTCATGTCAATGGTTGTTTTATGTTAGGTAAGATCAGGGTGGTGTTATATGGAAGACGCTTAGATATATAAGTTATGAACTCAGAGAATTTGGCTACGATACTTAGTGCCGATTGCGACATGCTTAGTTTGAAATCAATTTCGTTTTCCTTGTTTTTAGTCTTAATCCATTTTTAGTATTCGGATCAGATTTCAGATATATCACTTATCCCAGAGGCTGTGACATTGATGTGAATTAAACAATGAGATAAGTAAAAGGAGCTAAACCTGAATTGTCATTCAATGTGGGTGGAAGAAGTTTAAAGATTGATGTGAGCACAATTGACGAGCTGAATTCAGGGAATTATTTTGATCATGTATTATTTGATAGGTCTACTTATAACCGAGCTTCTTGTCCTTCCTAGCTAATGGACATGTCGATACTTTTGCAATCTTCCATCTTGCTTTGAAATGTTGTGTTTTACCTGTTGCGACTGTCTCCTGCTCCAGGGAAAGAGAAAAGTGTCAAAACCGAAGAAGAAACCTCAGACCAAAAAGTTACTGAATAAGTTGGATTATGTTGATGATGATGCTGACTTGGCAAAGGTAAATCTAGTGTTTTCATGATTTTAATACTCTCATTCCATGGTGAAGCTTGGGTTTCATCTCAGCATGGATTAGAAATCTATTACACGTGTAGTAACTACAAGATTAATACTAACAAAGTCAGTGACAAAATGCAGGCCATTGTGCTGTCTCTGCATGATTCTGCCAGAGTTTCAGCAACAGTGAGTTCAGAGCCTTCCAAAAATGAGGCTGGTGTAGATCTTAATGGCATAGTAGAAAAGACTCAAGAAAATCCTAGAATGCTGAAGAGGAAAAAAACGGTCTGTAACTCATCCTAATTATTGTTTTAAGAGAATTTTGTTTCCCTTTTTCTTTCCCAACTGACCATTTTTGTTTCTTTCTTTCTTTGTTTTTGTGTAAATAATTATTGATATCCAGTTTACCAGCCGGGTGAAGATGACTGAGGATGAGCTGATTATGCACTTCTTTCAGTTAGATGGTAATTGATGGTTAATGGAGTTTCCCTGTGTATGCTTGTCAGATAATGGATACATATTTTTCACATTCTTTCCTTCATTATTTTGGCATTGATGGCTTTGGCAACTCCCTGTTGGTTTATCACGTCAGGTTTACTTGTCCTTGTGCATCATTAGTCCAAATGGTAGGGAGGTTCAGGGAAGCTAATTTATTGTTAGGCTGAAGCATTTGCATCTAAGAAACCAATATCTATAGAAGGCTAATTTGGAGGGAGATTTTTATGCTCAGCAAATATTCCATCCCTTTCTTTAGTCACGGTTTTGAAAAGGGATATTAAACAAACCAAAATCCGGCAGATTTTGGTTTGCTAGTATGTAGTCGTGAGATAAATTGCTTCTTGATTGCTGTAGCATCAGAAAATGCCAAAAGGCGTCACAGAATGTCAATTTTACTGCACAGTTTTTTCTACGTTCCTCTGGATACTAACAACGAGAGTTTCTTAAGTGGATGTTGTGCGGCAATTCCTTTTCTTACTGTGGCTTGTAATCTTATTGTTAAGTGGGTACATCTAGCCCTTCCTGGACCCCACAATGTGGGAGGCTGGTACAATAGATGCCCCTTTTTGGCTTGCGAACCTTTTTGTTTTTGGAACTGACGAGCTTGCATGTGTCATGCAGAAGCAGGGAAGGGCGGCATCACTGTGCATGATTTAGCCAAAGTAGCTGATGCTCATGATTTTACATGGACAGACATGGAACTAGCCAACATGATTCACTGCTTTGATAGCGATGGAGATGGAAAGGTCCAGCCTACTACTATTTTTGTTTCATCTCCAGTCCTGCATGCTAATTCTTCTGTCAACTGCATTGCTGTGGACTGAACTGTTACGAAAGTCTGAAAAAAGGTACCAGCATCATTAACTTAGTTGACTGCAGTGTTACGAAATTTCATTAACCATCCATGAGGACAGAGATACATAATCAACTTATAAGTCTTGTTGGCGAGTGTCCCTGCAGCACCTGTTAACCATACTAAAGGAGATGTTTTCTTTTCATTTATCATGCATAACACGGGAAAGATAGTGCATTGGAAATGACAAACTTTCTTTATTTTGAGGTGTTTAGGAAGTCCCCTGGTGGCACTTTTTAACAAAATTCTTAAATCATGAATGCAGATAAAAATCTAGGCGATTTAAAATTATCTTGCGTTAGTCCATATTTCAAGAATTGAACAATAGTAAATATGACCTTACCAAAAAAAACAATAGTAAATATGATATCACTATAACTGTCTGGGAAAGTATCACCAACTTGATTTAATCATAACAATGGAGTAGTGAAAGTAAATGTGGTAATATCCTGGCAGGACTAGTCATGCCCGAAAGTGTAGGAAAAAGGTTTCTGTTGGGGTATGAAATTTTAAATAGTTATTCTGAGGTTATTCTCTAGTTAGATCTTTTAGCTAGCCCACTCTTGGCATCGGAGAATGTAATTTTCTCCATCTTCATCTCTCTTTTATTTTTTGATCTTTTTCGCTAGATTGAACAAATTTCTAGTAATGTTAAGCAAAGGAAAACAATTGCCTGCTATAGAATTAAGGATTGCTTTTCTTAGGAATTAACATAAATTTAATGATGTTAAGTAAACTGTGGATCGAATGTTGATTCTAATTTTGGGTCTTTAGGAATCAAATTATCTGTTTATGGCGTGACTTGTCTGTCTATGTTACAGCTAAGTCTTGATGATTTCTCGAAGATTGTCCATCGATGCAACATGATACAAGGTTCTGAAGGCTCCTGAGTGGTTAAGAGTGCCGAGTGTACCTACTGCTCTGATCAGGTATGGCGGGCAATTGTCTATGACTTTTTCCACCCCTTTCACTAGTTAGCAATGGTGATATCAGAATTTGTGACCGTATTAGTGGTACTTGTTAGATTTTAATTTCTTGGGGTTGAGGAAAGACAAAGGAAAAATGGCTCTTCCAAGCTTTCTTTTCTTGTATAGGCTTTAGCTGATATCAATGCATAAGTCAGAGGTGAAAGATGGTGGATTAAAAGTGATCTGGAGGATGAGAAAACCAACATTTTCTTGCTACATAATGGAATGGCCTCATTAGAGCTCGGATTTAATGAAGTTTTACTTGCTGATTTCCTCATGTGTCGACTTCTGATTTGTGTCTTTATGTTCTATTTCAGGAGTGATTGATCAAGAGGTCATTTTACTGCCAAGTTCTGTTACAACAGCAAGAAAGGAAGCACCTAGGTAAGCGAGAGATAGAAGCAAGAAAGTAGCTTGATCTGCTAGCTGTCGTTAAAGTTGGAGCTTTCACAGATAACTCACCAAATGCTGGTTGTATATACTATCTTAGACAGCAAGAAAGGAAGCACCTAGGTAAGCGAGAGATAGAAGCAAGAAAGTAGCTTGATCCACTAGCTGTCGTTGAAGTCGGAGCTTTCACAGATAACTCACCAAATGCTGGTTGTATATACTATCTTAGACAACTGAATTTTCTGCAACTTTTACAAGCTGATCTATTTGAGGTTAGGATTGGCGTGACAGCAGATTATAGCTTGCTTAACCTTTTACGCCAGTTGAATTATCTGTTGCGTTGTTCCATAAAAAGAACAAGTACTCTAAACTGGTGCTATCATGAAGGTTTGGTCTTGTTGTTATGCATGATTGATTACATTGACACATTTTTGTCTATCCTGTGAGAACTATTCTTCAGTTGGTTGGACCGCAGAAACCAAGATGCATAAAAGAAATGCTGCAATGTGCGCCTTCAGAATAATCGGGTTTGTTAAAGTTGGCGTGGACGTCGCGATGCTCTTAATAAGCTCTGCCATGTACCTGCGATCGGCTCTCTTTTTGAGGCCTTAGAGCTTAAGAGCGTTCAAATGAAGGCTACACAGAGAACAGATAATGTTGTCGAAGAGACAACGAAAGAACCATTCCTGGTTTGCACACCTCGTCAAACATTGCTTTGATTATGGTCTCTTGGTATCCTGAGAAAAGGCGACATTCGTTTCGAACTATATTCCTTGGCTTGCCTCGTTGTATTTTCGAAGTTTTTGGCAGATGCCTTCAACGCTAACTTATCCTCATTGCTTGCCGCAAATAAGCAGGTAACAATGTGCTTTGTCCTCACTACTTATTAGTCATCTTTCTTTGGTAGGTTTTTGATATTTGATAAGTTTCTAATTACCATCGCATGTTTTTCTCTTCAAAGAATTAGATAACCCCTTCTTTACATACTAGATTAAGTGGCTTATTACCTTAATTGAATCATTTATGTCAATTCTAATTAAAGGTCATCAAAGAAGCTTTAGTCTCATTAAATTTTAAAATTTTAATTTTCAAAACTTAATTAGATCATCAAACAGGCCAAAAGAGAGAGGAGGAGGGGGAGTGGAGATGAACCATCGCCGCTGATCACTCGCCGGGAGTGTACTTGGCCGTCCCTAGGGCAAACAACTCTGTCTAGGGACATCGCCTACCATTGCGAGGGTTGCTATCTCTTAGCGACTACCAAGAGTGTTTAATCTTATAACACATGGCACACAGTACACGTTTTACACACTGTTCTTTCCAAAATTGCTTAAAATATTTTGAAGTTTTCAATTAAGTAATTCACCCCTTCTTGATTGTGCCCATCTTCTCCGTTTCATTTTTCTCTTTAGTCAAATTTGAAGATAGTGACCGCAGCGACTTGTTTGCCATCTTCACGCAATGGTGGTGGTGGTGGTTCACACCATCTTATTAGGCTCATTGACGTCGAGACCTGGAACTAATCAAATTGTAAGATGTTTATATTCTTTAGACACGTCTTAGAACGTTTGCTATGTTTTTTTTAACTTTAATTAAGCCCTGCTATAGATTGGCGAATCAGTCTGGAGAAGAAGGAAACATTCATCCTTTATTCATCAATCGTGGGGTTGACAATGTAGCATGAGCCCATAATTTAATCATCCGATCCTCTTACTTCCCTTTTCATTTGTTTGGATGAACATGTGTATATTGGAGCTTATGGATTTTGTCGATATTATAACGACATGCATGCTTTGGTTTCTGAGATAAATATAAGAAACATTTCCAATGTGGGTCACCAATTATCTTCCTTTCATCTATCGCTTTGAGTTTCTTCCATATGTCCAAAGCCTGATTCTGAACCTGTAAAATTTCCATTTTGGTTCCATTAGACGTATTTAAACGTGCAACCTAAATGAATTTTTGGTGTATGCATATACAAGGTCAAAGAGAGACAAATATATTCTTCTTGGTTGCAACAGGAGAGGTAATCACTGGGGTTAACATATTATCACTATTGCATATCTAAGAAAAAAGAGTCGATCTCGTTTGATTGACTATCCTTTTGAAGTTTGTGGCTATAAAAAGAAGAACGGATCATGGTCACTCAAAATTTCAATGTATTACACAATCATGATCCTTCGAGTCGTATGTTCGGATATCCTACTTGTTGTCACTTTTCTAAAGTTGAAGATTTGCATGTGAAAGAGATGTCTAAAGCTGATATACCTTGTCGCCAGATTTCATTCTTCCTTGAGACAAAGTAATCCCAACATTCAGCTATAGCTAATACTATTTGCAACAAGAAAGCGAAATCTATGATAAAGATATGAAGGGTCACACTATGGTCCAAGCTTTATTGAATGAGCTTAGTGGATTCATCTACAATTTAAAACATGATGTTGAGGGTCGCTTTAGGCACTTATTTTTCTCTGAACCTATCTTCATGGCACTAACAAAGAGTTTATCAAATTTCTCTGTAATCAATTGTACTTACAAGACTAACTGATACAAAATGCCTTTGTTGGCAATTGTTGAAGTTACGAACTTTAATGCTCTTTTCTACTCATGCTTTGCCTTTTGAGAAAGGAGGAAAAGGAAGATAATGGATTGGCTTTTGACAATGTTTAGCAACATATTTGGTGTTAATGGTCAACCTTTAGCTTTTCTCATTGAAGAGAAGTGGATTCACTTTTCCTCGAAGTGTGAATTTGTTGCGTGTTTGGCACATTAAGAAGAATATTGTGGGAAAATGTAAATCTCTTTTGAAGATGGAACATATTGGGATTCTTTAATATCTGATTTGTGCAAGGTTTTGAAATCCAAGAGTGAAGTAGAATATGATGAAAATATTTGGCAATTTGAAGACTATCGTAAGAAAAAATCCATCAATTCTTAATTACATTAAAAATAAGGGTTAATATCACGAAAAATTCTAAACCGGTACACCTGTGATAAATTTACCCTATGTTAGTTTCCGTTAAATTTTACCGTTAAATTACTGAGTTAGATGACATGTGGCAGTTGACAGGTGTATCGGTTTGGAATTTTACCTTCCGTTTGTCACAGATATATCAGCTTGTGATTTTTCATGATATTAATCCAATTTAACAAAAATTAATGGAGGGTAAATTTATCACAAGTGTACTAGTTTGAAGTTTTTAGTGATTAGAAAATTAGTTTGGGATAAATTTGTTATATGTGTACTAGTATAGGATTTTTTGTGGTCAAAAGATTAGTTTGAAGTAAATTTGTCAATGTATACTAGTTTGGAATTTTTCGTGGTATTAACCCGAAAAATAAATGGCTTGCTTTGCAAGAGTTTTTTTGCCAGTTTGGACAAACTTGTACATGCATTTTGGGAATTGTGTTACTTCAACAGCTAAAGGGGCACATTCGATTTTAAAAGGATATCTACAAGTTTCAACGAGAGATTTAGATGAGGTGAAAAATAAAATATTCTTTGCGGTAGAGAATTAGTTTCAAGAAATCAAAACGAAATTATTAAGTGAGAAGGTAAGTACTGTTCCTCATCATCTTCATATTCCTCTTTTCAGGCACTTGATTACTAGTGTGTCAACATTTGCTTCGGACGAGCTTTGTAGGCAATATGAGATTCCTAAGAGTAGAATTGAGCCACCTACTTGTACTGAGCGTTTTATGCAATCATTGGCCTTCCATGTGTGCATAAGATAAGATTTAGGATTTCTGATGGTCTATCTCTAAATATAATTAATCCACAATAGAGGTTTGATACAAGGTTCTTTCATAATCATGATATTACTCAAAATAATAGAGATGATATATATAAGCAACTATTTCAAGAGTTGGAAGGAAATATCAAGAATGGCTACTTTCCAAAAAGGAAGTTGTTCAAAAGCAAATTGAGCATTTTGTACGAACAAGTGATTCCTTCTTATATGAGTCCCTAGCTACATATCATAAAGGTTGGAATTCAAAAACTAAAGGAGAAGCAACTTCTAAATGACGTGATCCTTCGGCATTTCAGATTGTTCAAAAAGGGAAGAGATGTGGTCACTGTAAAGGTTATTGGCATAATAGTTGATCATTTAAATCGAAAGGAAAATGTCAAGCTCGCATTCAAGGCCATTGAAATCCATGGTGGTGAAATATAATAGGCACGGAGGACTCAAACATGCAATAATTCAACCCGAAAGGCCTATTCTAAGGTTGGAGTTACTCACTCCCTAACTTTGGAAATTACTCCCTGATATTTTTAAGCAAATAATGACTCTCCTAGAAATGTAACTAAAACTTTTATTGCATGATTCAAGTAAAATACCTTTTTTTTTTTCGAGAAAGTAGCCTTTTTTAGGGGGGCCAAGTGGCTGAATGAAGAATTTTTTTTTGTTAAGTTGCATATGCAATTTGATACTATTGCAGTACATTTGTACTATGAAGATCATTTTCTTTTCTTTGATGGTTCTATGAAAATTTTGATGCATTTAGAATTGACAAAAAAAAAACCTGCAAATGGTTTCAATAAGTTGTCTTATAATGCAATTACAATTGCCACAATTTCCTTGTCAACAACTAATTATTCCATGTAATCAAGACAAAGATTATATTCACACGTGGTAATATTTTAGGGAGCTTTTTCTTTTGAATTTGCACAATGATAATGGATGTTTAGAATTTCTAATGTGCTTATAACGAATTTTTTTTGAAATATCTATTAAAAATTTGTGAAGTGATGACTTGAAAAATAAAAAAAGTTGACAGTTAGATTCCCCTATCAAAATGAAAGTTGAGCAGTTAAAATACATGGACTATAATGAAATGACATATATTGAAGTTTTGATTTAATCAAATGCATCAATTAACAATAGTAAATGATTCTTTTCACTCTTACTTGTGGTTTGGTTATTTAGAATAATGGTTTCCTTGTACAAAAAAAAAATATATACAACTCATTAATACAATAACTAGTTATCTATCTATCAAATAATTTTTTTTTGAAAGGACGGACACTTTTTTCATCTCAAATGGAAAAAAAAAACAATAAAAAGAAGCCAAACAGAAAGAAGACCTCAGTGAGCTCAGAAGGACAACAAAAAGAACTATAAAAAAAAAAGGTAAGGAATAAGCTCAAGTTAAGAGTAACCCAAAAGCACAACAAAAAGAATAAAGAAAAGGTAAGGAATAAACTCAAATTAAGAGTAACCCAAAAGACAACAAAAAGAATTAAAAAAAAGGTAAGGAATAAACTCAAATTAAGAGTGGCCCACGTTTAACCTTTTACTGTGCGGGTAGATTTGTAAGTAACAACTAACAAGTGCCTAAGTTGTGGAAGTTGCTTGATTGTTGCCTGGCTCAGGTTGCATTTTCCATGCCAAGCAAGATGCAAAAAGTTGCAAAAGCATG